ATCCTTGATCACCTGCTTCAGCGGTTAACTTACTTCCAAATAGGAGGTGATCATTATTCTCCATATAAAACTATTACTACACTATCATTATTATAAAAATAAAATAGACATGATCAGGCTTGAAAGCCATCTGCCTACCATGACTTATATGTGCCGACTTCTGGAGGGAATAGGAACTCAGTGTAATAACAGCGAGAGGTGGTGTGGGAGAAGCATGGAGGACTCGATCACACAATTTCATCTTTATAACAACGAGACATCTGAATAGTGCTTGGGTTTCAATTCTTTTAAAGCAACTGTGCTTATTACATTCATCTGCCCAAAACCACCTTAAGGAGTTTCACTATTCAAATAAGAAAAACCCTCTGTTATATGAATAAAACATTAAAGAAAACATAGCGAAAATAGTGTGATGCAAAACTGAGTGAAAAATGTGGATCGGGGGACGTTAGTTTTTAAGGATTAAAGCCTGATTCTCTGAAATCAATTTTTAAAGCCCCTGAGAAGTAGCAGAATTGTTAAGCTCTCAATCAGTATCAGATCTACAAACCCTATATTATTAGGACAAGTGACCCAAATGTTAAATTTTTCCTCAAGGATTTAATGAACGCTCTCTCCTGTTAGAATAAAAATGTCCTACTTTCTAATACCAATTCTTGTTAAAGCTAGACTCATACTAAATCAAATAAAGATTACTTAATGTTAAGCTAGTTTTGTGAGTTTTATAACTTTAACCTTGTATATCTTAGTGATATTTTTAGAAAATTGACATTTACCAATGCATATTTAAATGTCAACAACTAGAGAATTTTGTCATACAACTGCTCGAATACAGATGTTTATATGAAAAATAGCATTTGCTTAACTTCCTGAATAAAAAAAAATAGCTTCAAGATTTCCCAACTGTCCTTCTAAGGCTGTGTGCCCCTCCTCCATAATCTGCTTTCTTGCCTGCCTTGCTTGCTTCAAAAATAAATTCGTATCAACCACTGCCTGACCAAAGTTTAAATTTAAAAATAGACTCAACAGTTATCAGCCTGCTGATGTGGAGTATAGCTAGGCACAGCCAGAGGCCAGCCTCCTAAAACAGTCAAGGAGAATCCACCTAAGCAATCAGACCTTAGCACACAGATCTAGTGGTGTGGATCTAGGGAGAGCCTCCATAAATGTCTGCTGAGACTGAGAACCAAACCGCCCCATAGTATGACAAGATGCCTGTAAATAGTTCATGTCTACAGTTATGGTTCCTTCTGTGTTCCTACAACAGGACTTCTTGAACACTGCGGTGTTAATATTTTAGTCATTTTAAGAAATAAACGTGTAAATCTATAGTCCTAGCCAAAGCGAATCTTCTACGAATTGTTATACAAGAAAATTTTGCAATGAGCAAAAAAATACAAATTGTTCATGCAAATGAGCAAAAAAATACAAATTGTTCATGCAACCTATATGGAGTTACCTTTATTTAAACATGATTTAATCAGGCCAGTTTCTGAGTGGCTTTCAATTTACAAGAACAAGTATTTAAAAAAGAAACTCAACAGAAAGCATGTCGGTTTTGTTCTTACAAAGTTGTATTGGCCTAAATCATCTCCAGGATCCAAAGGTTAGTGGATCTATCTTAATAGCTCTGAAAAAAAATAAAACGTGTAGTCAGCTTGAGCCTACAATAAATTCTCTTCCTCTAACCATGACTCTGAGATACCAATAAAGTATTTTATTACAATTTGACATCAAATGAAGTCCAGCTCTCCTGTTTTGTAAGTAAAAATGACTAAAAATCATTGAACCAAGGCCAGCAAAGCCAGGTGAGAAAAATCACTAGTGTCTAAAGGACAGCTGCACGTGGACAGAACCGGTTCCCTTCCCTGCTCTGCTAGAGTGCAGTAGGCAATCCTGGGGACGTGTTTATAGCGGGACTGTCCCATCATTATCCCCTCTGTTGTTCACAAGATTCCTCTGAAATAGATGCAGGAACTGGCAAGCATTCTGAGTTTTGTGCCGTCAGCACCTGACCAGGAGGCTATGTGAACAAGAAGTCTATGTACAAACACAGCGGATAATGAAGTCTGATGGTAGCAACAGTCCCCGGCCAGGCCTCAGAATCACCACCACAGCAGTGTTGAGGCCAGTGCTCTCCGGCAGACTCTGTAAGTGTGATGATCTGACTGTGAAACACTCCCTGCACAGACCCTATGTTTGAGCAGTTGGTCCCCAGCAGGTGGCACTGTCCAGAGAGGTTGTAGAACATGGACAGATATAGGGGCCCCAGCAAATGTAGGCCTGTTGGGGCGGGGCTTACATGTTACAACCCAGCCCTTGTTATGACCAAAGTGTTCACTACTTCAAGACTGCTGAGACATTGTCGCCACCACCTCACAGCCCTGCCCCTACACCTTCCCTGCCATGATAGGCTGTGTCCCCTAACTATGATTCTGAATAAATAAATCCTCTTTGTCTTAGGCTGTTTCTGTCAGAGCAATGAAGAACGTAGTTAGACCCCACTGTTTCTCTGCCTCCCAGTGCAGTTTCTTTACTGCCCTGTGCCTCAGTCTCCTTGTCTGAAAGAGGGTGGTATTTGTAACACCTACCTCAATACGATATCGCAAATATTAGTGAGAAAAATAAACATAAAGCACTGAGAAAGATGGCGCCTGGCAAACACGCCGCGCATGTCAGCCATTCCTCACCAGAACTCCCTATGCCAATGGAACTCGCAATTCTACGGAGAGTTTAATTTTTTCAACAATTCCTAACTGAAAATGCTTTCTAGTTGCAGCTACTTTATAGTTAAGCATTATAAAAGGTCTTTCTACATATTCAATTCCTTGCTCCAAATTTCACTGACTCCTTATCTCTGAAAAGACGCCCAGACCCCTCCTTGAGTTTAGCTTGCTCTAGTCTGCTTTCCTAACCTTCTACTCCAGTTAGACTCACACACTCTTCTTCAAGGCACCCACCTAATGCCCTACCGCCACACAGGCTCTGATGGGAGCACAGTAAGTGGTTGTGGTTGTTTGTCGATGTTATTTTTGCTCTGGCATCCTGCAGTAAGGTTGTTTATATCTTACTGTGGGAGTGGATCCAAAAGACTACGGTCTGCCCAGAGGGAAGACAGGCCCAGAAAACCCAGCCCAACCACAGCCAATTCTGAAAAGCTCAGCAGTGGTTGCAAAGCTAAGGCTGGGAACACAGCTCTCCCACAATGTTTAGACTCAGACATGCTCAGGAATACATATGTGCTCTTTTAAAAATAATAGTACTGTTGAGGGGTCTAGAGAGAATTCTCAAGTAAGAATTCTGAAAAAAAAAAAGTCTCTAGAGAATTTCAAAAGCAGTAGTAACATTGGCTAATTCCTATCCCAACTATAGCCTTAACCATTTAGGCTTCTCCATGGGGGTGCCTCACCAAGAAGAATTTATGTTAATTTATTTATATAATGCAGCAAACCCATCTCTCTGGTCAACAAAAGTTGCAGCCTCCATTCACAAAACTGACTTAAAATTCACCATTGTGCGGGTTTGCTTTCCTCTTAGAGGAAGACATAGAAGGGAGCTCAGAATTCTTGGGATTCAGAGAATCCTGTTTGATGTGCTGATACTCCAGAGGGTGAAAGGGAAACTGTGAGTGTTTATATCTGTGAAAAAAGGGGCAGGCACCCTGATAACCTTCAAAGATGAACATCTTTTTTCCAAGAGTCCTTCATCTCATAGCCACAGAAAAAAGATGAAGGAGAGCTGAGGACACAGCTCAGCTGATGAAGAGCTTACCTTGCAAACTTGAGGACTTGAGTTTGGTCCCCAGAAGCCATGCATATGAAAGCCCTGTTAGGTGTTTTCTCTTAGACAAGCCTCTCAGCTGATGCAAATAATCCCAATCAGACCAAATCAGATTGAATAAAAGATGCCCATGTTTAATGGAATACTCCTGGTGGCCCTGGAAAAACATAGAGAGGGAAAGAGAGAGAGAGAAGGGGAGACCATGTGAAACCTGGAGACCACATGTTCTTTCTCTAGGGGGCAGTTTAAGTAGCCTGTGGGAGAGGTGTTGGGGAGCACTTTTCTGGGGAGGGACTACTGTTTGGCAGGCTTTCTTGACCCTCCCTGGGGTGGGGTCACCATTTGGCAGGCTTTCTCGGAGGTGGAGTTTGAACTCCTAGGGGAGGGGGCTTATGTCCAGAAGCCCCCAGGCAAGCAAACCCTAGTGGAGACAGGCAGAGCCCTGGGGATCCCTGGCTGGCCAGCCTGGCCTACTTGGCAACCACAAGGCCAGTTAGAGTCCCTGCCCATTCCCCCAAATAAAAAGAAAGTGGACAACTACCAAACAAACAACACACCTGCCCTGTGGTCCCCCACAGACTCGAGGGCACGTACATCTACACAGCACACACACAGAAGGGAAGGGACGAGGAGAACCTTACATTCCCTAATCAGGGAAGAAAAATAAAACAATAACTTCCTGTTGCATAAAAAGCATTACTGAACCACTCTCAATAGAGCAATAGAACCCTAAAATTCAGACTTTCAGTCTTGCTCATTCAGTTGATAGCAGGCACAAATTGGTAGCCCTTAGGTAAAACAGTGTTCTTACCTTTTTAAAAATGGATACTTAAATGTCTTTATATGGATTTGTGCTCTGCAATTTGACTCAGGCTCCATCATATGTCTCAGACATAAATCATATAGTAATTCCTGCCTGGAGACACTCGTGTTCATAGCTTCTGCTGGAATTTGATGGGATTCTGAATGAACTTCACTGGGACATTTAGCTTATACTCTCATTCTCCTTTCTAGTATCTTCGAAACTCCACCAACTGTTCCTTTTTTTTTTTATGTTTTTATTGAGAAAAGGAAAAAAAAAGTTTCCGCCTCCTCCCAGCCTCCCCTTTCCCTCCCCCTCCTCCCACCCTTCACCCCCTCCCCCTACTCCACTCGCCCTCCCTCTCCAGTCCAAAGAGCAGTCAGGGTTCCCTGCCCTGTGAAAAGTCCAAGGTCCTCCCCCCTCCGTCCATGTCTAGGAAGGTGAACGTCCAAACTGGCTAGGCTCCCACTAAGCTGGAACATGAAGTAGGACAATGGCACGGGGTTTTGATCCAACTGTTCCTTTTTAAAGTAACCCACCACACAGGTTGCCTGTTGCTATCGCCGGACGAGAAGAGGCCACTCCATTGCAGTCATCAATCCTCAGTTTACCCACAAGACTCCCTAAGGTTGAAGGCTGATTGGGTTTACAGTAATTGGTTTCTGCCTTCATGCTGGAAACCTAGTGTTGGACGAGCACCACGGCCTTCAGCTTTGGAGAACAGTAAGCTGGAATCTTCCTTGTTCACAACGTCCAGTCCGTCCTGTTCTGCAACTTCACAGCCTTCTCTCCAGTACCACCTGCCCAGTCCAGCTTATCAAGACAGTGAAGTGGCCTTTGTTTCTCTGGGTTCCACAGGGACACTGTAAGGAAAACACACAGCATTCCATTTCTTGGCGGTGGTAGAGGATAGAGGACAGAATCGGCCTTTGACATAAACAGGACTCATCCAGAAAGTAGCTGGAGGGGAATGTTGGCAACACACAATTAGCCAGCTGGTCATCTCTATGTAAGTCCACCCTCGGCTCTAACTGCCAAGTTTTAAAGCCTTAAATGCTTTAGCATGCCAGGCATAGTTCAAAACCAGATTTTTTAAATCTGTTTTCCATGTTGCCTCCCCTCTTCCTTAGCCAGTTGCATGTACAAACTAGGGGCCAAGTAAGTTAATACTTCAAATAAAAGGGTGCTGACACTTTTGGTGGAAAACCAGGTGGTAAGTCAGTATCAACTTTTCCTGAACTCTTGCTCAAGAAGAAAACTACTCGAGTGTTCATTTTTTCTTGTGGCTGGAATGCTCAGAGCCCATCTCAAAGTCAAGTCCAGATCCTTCAGTAGGACAAATATTTTTTATTTGTTTTATTTATTTATTTTTTGGCCTGGGTTGCAAATGATATGCCTGGTTATTAAAACAGAACCAAAGAATGCATAAAGGAGTGAAAATAAGGGCAGGATTGATGAAGTTCTTATTACTTTTGCACTTTTAAATTCCCAATCGTTTGGTGAGAAGATTGGAAAATAAACAGCCACCCCTGGAATGTTAATGAATACCCAGCCCAGCTTCCCAGCTCCCTTCCTGAGGATCTGCCTTCCTGCATGTCACCTTGTCTTTCTCCTAGGCTTACGATGTTTATTTCAACTCAGCTGAACTCACTGATGTGGTCTCAGTCACAGTAAGGTCATTTCAACTCATTAATTTGGTTTTTCACCCTCTGATATCCAAATCTAAAATCTTCCATATGCCTTGGATTCTTGAACAAGTAGTTCATAGGGAAGCTCACAAGCATAAATTGTAACTTTTTATGGCAGAAACATTAAGCTCCTGGCTGTCTTCTCCAGCTCAGCAATGAGCTTTTCCTTTGAGACATCAGGAAAAGTCTACTTTTAGACTTTAGAGCAAAGGAATATCTTAGAGCAACTAGTCTACTTTATTAAGTTTCATTATTATTAACGACTCTTCTCGGGGGTTGTGTAATCTATTTCTGGGGAGAGGTAAGTAAACTCATCCCAAAACGGAATTGACAGTGGACCAAAGTAAGGAAGGATACTGTTTGGTTAAAAGTGTCAGCCCAGTCCCTGGCATCCCTATATGCAAAGAGTCTAGAATGTTTGGGTGGAAAGTTCGATCCCAGGCCCCCTCCCCTGGGAGTTGCCTCAGTCCAAACTCCACCCTGGAGAAAGGCCCCAAATGATGACCCCTCTTCAGAGATGCTCAAGACTACTCCCACAGGGTATTAAACTGCCCCCCAGCCAGAACAAACAGGTGATTTCCTGATGGAGGAAGGTCATTGGTTAATTAATTTAAAAAAAACTGCTTGGCCCTGGTAGGTTAGAACATAGGTGGGTTGAGTAAAAAGAACAGAATGCTGGGAGGAAGAGGAAGTGAGGTAAGACACCTCAGGCAGACGTGATAGCTCTCTTCTCTAGGGCAGATGCGATGAAGCAAGCCGCCAGGTCAGACATGCTGAATCTTTCCCAGTAAGACTGGTGCAACACAGATTACTAAATGTGGGTTAGGCAAGATTGTGAGAATTAGCCATTAAGAGGCTAGAACTAATGGGCCAAGCAGTGTTTAAAAGAATACAGATTTTGTGTTGTTATTTGGGGGCATAAGCTAGCCAGGCCGCTGGGAGCTGGGTGGCAGGAAGTGGCCAGCAGCTCCCTCAACAATTTCCTGTCTTCCTTCCCCATCGCCATCCCTGGGGGGCTGGAAGGCCACCCAGGAGCATTAGTGTCCATTAAACCTGACAACCGATAGGTTTTAATTGGCTTACTTATAGTAGCATGGATGAGGATTATTTACAGGAACAGAAATGTCTCAAAGACAGCTACATTACCACAAACCCAGCCCAGCATGGATGACAGCTACAAAAGCTGAGGACTGTCTGCATACCTTCCAGGCAGTTCAGTTGCTCTGAACCTCTTCCAGACAGCTCAGTCAGGGCCTGCCTTTTCAGGTGCTTTGACTGGTCTCTGATTCTTGGGTTCTCTCTGCCTCTTCTTGTCAGCAACCTGAGAAAGATCTCTCAGCAGTCCTTACAAGAGAGGGAGGGGCCTTGTCAATCCACTCAGTTTCAGAAACTTCCTAAAGCTGAGTTGTTTTCTTCCCAAGCTGACTGTTTCACCTTTCTTAGGAAGTCCTGTGTTCTAGGTACCTTTCCTCCAGATGGAAAATTTTACATAGTATATTAAGCATTTCAGACTTGAGATGACTCAACAAGTGAAGGCAACTGGCACAAGGCTGATGACATGAGTTCAGTCCCTTGAACTCACATGGTAGAAGAAAAGAACCTATTCCCCAAAGCTGTCCACTGACTGCCACACTCTGGGTACTCTGTGGCACACACACACACACACATACACACACACATGCACACGCACATGCACACGCGCGCGCTCACCAGCACACACACAAAGCATGTAAACATAGAGAGAGATTTAATGTATAAATTACGTATTTTAAAAATTCCAGTTTGAAAGAATAAGCAACATGTCTTCTTATTCTTCTATCCACAGACTTATATGTTATATATGAAATTGACCTGGTAGAATTAATGTGGTTTGGTTTTGTCAGAAATTAAAATGCATGATTAGAGCACTTATTTGTGGGCTTCTTTTGCAAATCCTGTCAAAAACAACACAGTTTGATGTTGTAGTTGTCATTGTCGTGTTTTTTCTTCTTTAATATTTGATGTGGGATGTCCTATGATATATGTGTTGCTCTTCTTGGTTAATAAATAAAGCTGCTTTAGCCAGGGTGAAAAAAATATAGAGAGAGAAGGCAAAGTCAAGGAGATGGCATGTAGCTGCCAAAGGAGACAGTCACTGGATCCTTACCAGAAAACCACAGCCTCATGCCGATTTATAGGTTAATCGAAATGGGTTAATTTAAGATGTAAGAGCTAGTTAGAAATATGCCTGAGTCATTGGCTGAACAGTATTATAATTAATACAGTTTCTGTGTGCTTAATCAGGTTTGAGAAGTCGGGAAACAATCAGTATCTGCCTACAAATATTTGTTTATTTATTTCTATTTTATGTGCATTGCTGTTTTGCCTTCATGCATGCCTAGGTAAAGGTGTCAGATCCCCTGGAACTAGAGTTACAGACAGCTGTAAGCTACCATGTGGGTGCTGGAATTAAATCTAGGTCCTCAGGAAGAGAAGCCAGTGTTCTTAACTGCTGAGTTATCTCTCCCTGGTCTTTCTTTTATAGTTCAAAATCTTGGCTTTCTCTTACTACCTCCATTGAATGATGAAGTCCATGGTGTGTGGATCTGGGACCAGGTGCTGAGCAGACCACTTTGCCTGGGACAAGATGAAGTTGTTTGGAAGCCTTCATCAAACTTCTCTTCTGCTCCAGTAAAATCAGGTTGTGTGTCCTGTGCTTGCCAGTGTTGCCCGATTACTAAAACTAAATTCATTTCTTTCTTATATCAACCTGATTGATTCATCATGCTCCTTCCCCCTTGGTCCTAACTGATACATGTTGAGTTAGCTTCCTGCGTCTGGCCATACAGAGTTGCCTGTGCTTCAGCAGCCTCTCTGACACATGGTGACTATTATGCTAGTATATCAGCCAGTTATCAATAGTTTACATGGTGTCTGTACAATACAACATTTAGGCTGTTGACTGGGTTGGAATATGACCTCCTTAAAGATATGTTCAAGTCCTATTCTGAATCTGTGAATGAAACTATTTTGTAAACAGGGTCTTGGCAGATATAATCAGGTTAAGATAAGATCAAACTAGGCTAAGGTAAGCCCTAAATCCAATATGTGTGGACCCAGGAAAGAGCTGCAAAAGACACACTCAGAGGAGAATACCATGTGAAGATGGAGGTGGAGGTCATGTGTTCAGCCACAAGCCAAAGGCTCTCCGGGAATGCCAGCTGAGAAATGCATGGAATAGCCCCTTCTCAGGTCCCTCCACAAGGACCCAGTCTCACCAACACCTTAACTCTGGACTCCTAGACTCAAGAATTGTAAAATAAAATACATTTTTGCTAAATTATCAGTTTGTGCTGCTTTTTTATGGCAGCCTCAGAAATTCATATGATTTCTCTCACGCTTTTGTAAAATTATTCAGTTCTTCTAACAAACATTTATTCAGCACCTACTATCTGCCAGGGACTTTTTCTGGGTTCTATGGAAAGCACCATAAATTAAAAAAAAAAAAAAAAAAAACAGTCTCCTTCTTAATAGTCTAGTTGAGAGATGAGGTCACGTAAATCTAGGGAGGGAGTCGTGTAAGGGGTGTTGAGGAAGCAGGGAGGACACTTAACTCTAGCCCAGGGTTCAGGGAAGGCATGCTGGCAGAGATAAAGGCATGGAAGAATCTTGAAGAATGCAAGCAGTACAGGAAATTGGAGGCAAGAGGGAATAACAATCTTTTCCTCCCACACTGGGCTCTAAACGCAGCCCCTTCCTGCAGCCAAGGGACTTCCACAGAAGAGGAAAGTGTGTGATTCTTCTGACTGACTCTCCACAGCCTGAAGTCTCTTACCAGCCTGGCTTTATGAAACAGGTCCGTTCTTCTTAGACTCAGTTTGGAGAAAGAATGGGAAGTCTGCTTTGTGGAGAAGGGTTGTTTGGGTTTTGTTTTGTATTTTCACATCTAGATGTCCTGCTGCCGTCATGTGGCTCAATGCCAGCTGTCTTTCAAAAGCAATGAAAGACAAAATGCTTCTAATCCAGACTAGAGAAAGTAAGGTCCACCTGGGCATGATGTTATTTATATACTTGCAATCCCAGACGTGGCAGAAGGATCACAAATCCAAGGCCTATCTGGGCAGCTAAACTAGAGCCAGTCTCAAAAAATTATTTCAAAGGGTGTGAAGGCAGCTTCATGGCAGATTGTTTGCTCCACACGCTCTGGGCTCAATCACAAGCTCTGAAGGAACACAGGTTCTCCCAAGAGGGATTACTGGCTCTTTCCAACGACAAAGAAATAGCGGTAAGACAAGAAGATGATCAAAATGAAAACATACTGGAAATCTAGAAAACAGAATAACTAAAAGATGACTTTTAAAACAACTGGTGTGGTGCACTTCTTTAATCCCAGCACTCTGGAGGCAAAGTCAGGCGCCTCCCTGAGTTCAAGGCCTGCCTGGTCTACAGAGTGAGTTCCAGCACAGCCAGGACAACACAGAGAAATCCTGTCTTGAAAAAACAAAAAACAAGCAAACAAATAAAAAACCAACCTCATATAGTTTCATCAATCAGAGATGATCACCATATTAATATTTTTATAGATTTCCCACTGGACTGTTTTCCAGGCATAGTTTTTTATTGTGTTTGTTTCTGCGTGCTCATAAGCGATGTGCCATCCAGCCTTTTACACACAGCATTACAGCATAAACATTTTCCGAGCCCTTGAGAAGCTCATTATAAACATTATTTTAATGGTTCTGGAGATTTGATTGCATGCATGCTCATGGTTTACTTAACCAAGCTTAGAGTTGGCCATGTAAGTGAGATCATAACTTTTTAAATAGCCTTCAGATAAGCACAATGGGTTTTTAAGTGGATTTTAACTAATTTCACCATAGACAGTGGCCTTATGATACGAAGACCATTTTGTTGTCAAGAAGTCGACTTCAAAACAAACCAAAAGAAATGATACAGACTTGGACTTTGTCATTAGTGTCAGCAGCTCTCCACCTTCATCCTGCTAAAGACGGTTTTCTTCTTTGTCCTACAGTTCTGTCGCTGGGGCAATTGTCTCAACTTCCTGGTAAAGCTGGGTGTGAAGCAGTAATTGTTCTGGGGCCTCTGCCCTCCTCATTAGACTACATAGGAGCCAAGTCTCCTGTTGTTCTGACTCAAAACAAGCACCTTAATGATAGCCCAGACTCCTACTTTACTCTTCAAGAGACACCCTTGTGAATTCACTCAGGTTTGTCTTGAAACTAGTCTGGCTGGCTGACCCTATCAAGTCTATATTTTTCTTAAGCCATCATTCCCATCTCATCTCCATGATGCTTCATTAGAACCTCTCACCTAAATAGTCTAACCACTTGTCTTAGTTGGGTTTTATTGCGTGAAGAGACAGCATGATCATTGTAACTCCTATAAAGGAAAACATTTAAATGAGGTGGCTTATATTTTCAGCAGTTCAAGCTTACCATCATGGCAGGGAGCATGGCAGTGTGCAGATAGACACACTGCTGGTTACATCTAGGTCAGCAGGCAGCAGGAAGTAAACTGAATGTCATACTGAGGGAAGCTTAAGCAAAGGAGACCTAAAAGTCTCCCCCCACCCCATGGTAACATACTTCCTCCAGTAAGGTCACGCCTACTTTAAAAAATCCATAGCTCCTAATAGTGCCACTCCCTATGAAATTACAGGAGCCAATTACCACACTATTATCGGGGTCTCACACACACACACACACACACACACACACACTATGCTTTTTCACCAGTTTCTCCTTTTTTTACTTTTTATTGTGGTCACTATACTGCGATCAAAAAAAAAAAAAACCTTACACTGAGTTGTTTATAAATTAACATGTACTACTCACAGGTCTGGAGACAGGAAATGACCCCTGGTGGAGGCTGCTCTCTGCTCCCAAGACATTGAACCAAAATTGGTGGAAGATCCAGGAAGCTTTCAAAGTCTTTTCTTATGAGGACTGGCTGCTTAGTACCTGTTGAGGGAGGTCCTTCCGCCCCTCCAACCAATAGCCGCTGAGATACCAGCCCATTGGGGCGTGGTCTCTCTCCCTTTAAAAAGTGGCTACTTCCCTTCTCGCTCTCTTTGCTTCCTGCTCCGGTTCCAGCAACTAGACTTCTTCCTGACTGCGCAGAGGGCTGTTGTAAGCTTTTTCCCCTTTAAATAAATACCACCCTATTAATCATAATTCCAAACTGGTGTGGCATTGTTTATGACTTAAGCCTTCAAGTACCTTCATCATGTGGTTTACACTCCAACATATAAAATTTGGAGGCACACAAATACTCATACCATAGCAGTAACCCATCTACTTCCAATATCACCTGATATTCTAGTCCTTGTCCAAATCTATACCTGATCCAGACCCTCTTACCTGTGTTTATTTAGTTGGGCTTTTGAGAGACATCTGTGCAGAACAGAACAGCCACCCAGTCACTGCTGGAATCATGGAGAGTAAATGTCCTTGTGCTTCTGAGGTTAAGCACATTGCTCACTTTAGCACCCCAAGCTCACTTTACTGCTGAGAAGATCACCCATCCCTTACCCCCAACAGACTTCAGTAAGCACTTCGCCTCCACAATGTGCAGAGCACCACCACTCCCACTCTGACTACAATAAACAAATGAGTGTCATCGCCACCACTTTGAAAGAGTCTTGCAGACCATATATCTGGATAGAAGTCCACTGATTCTAAAAATGCACTTTTTTCATCATCTGTTTACTAGTAAAAGCTGACTGTGCAGGTTGCCTGTGGCTTCTGTGACACACCCACACAAACCTGGTGTCTGGAACAATGGAAGTATATGCTGTTATAGCTGTGTAAGCCAGATGTCCAGAGTCAGTCTTCCTGCACCAAAGTCAAACGTGTCTACAGGGCTGCAGTTACTCCTAAAACTGTAGGGGTCAATACAACCCTGTTCTCTTCCAACTTTTAGTGGCTACTGGTGTTCTCCATTCAATCTGCCTGCTTCAAAAGTTAAGTTGTTTTTAATCTTCTCTCTGTGTTAAATCTGGCTCTGCCTTCCTTTTATAAGGATGCATATGATGGTGTTTAGGACTTACTAGGTAACCCAGGGTGACCAGACGCCTTACTGAGTCACATCTTCAATCACTTCTCTTTTACAAGGTGGCATATACAGGGATTGGGACCTGATGCGTACTTGTGGCTATTATTCATTCTACTTATTAACCTCAATGAAAACAAGGCAACTGTGATCTTTATCTAGCCCTCCAGAAGTGAATAGTAGTGTCTCACCAAAGAAATATTCATGTGTGGGATCGCAGAGTACTGCTCCAGACCTCAACAGGAACACTGAATGTTGTGCATAACTGTGGTGTTCGCCGTCTCTAACATCAGACAAGCATCAAACAAGCCCTGGAGCATCCCACACCCCCAAGGGTTTTAGATAAAGGTTTATGACTCTGGATTTCCCTACTTCAAGCAGCTTGTCTGCAGAGCCTTTCATGGCTCTCTCGGCTGCACATCAGTCCAGGAAGGTAAGCAGTGTAGGAATCACCGCGCCTGTTTTAGAGCTAGGAACTCGGAGGACTGCCTGTCTTATTGAGTATCCACATTAGTCAGTAGCAAAGACTAATCTTCATGGAGTTCATCAGAGCTGCCTCCCCAGAGACAGGCAATCTGAAATCAATTACTCTTTAAAGCATATAATTTGAATCTTTTTACTGGTGAAGGTTAGAAATAGCTCTTGTGAGTCTTGTCAAATGACAAAACAGATAGGCCCTGAGCCAAAATCAAACAAAGGAGACACAAAAGGTACAAGAAAATATTGGAAGGAATGGAAAGGCAGCTGTGGAGGCCACCTGCACACCGACCGACTCGACTTCTGTCTTCTGTTGGTTAGTTGTGGTTTTTGTTGTTGTTGGCTTTTTTTTTTTTTTTTTTGTATGTGTTTGTCTTTTTTTTTCTATGAATGCATTATCTGGCTTGAGGTTTGGGGAAGAAAAAAAGCTACATTCACGTAGAAATTTACATTCTGTTCCAGGCAAGCTGACAGGTCACTTCTAAACTGCAGAAAATGATGCTTCCCCGATTCTAGCATTATCATGAGAATTAAACAAGAGCATACGAAATGCTAGCACAGAGACCTTAATGAACACAAATTACCTCCCCTCTTTCTCTTGTTCTCCCTTGAGAAAACCCCCTCACACAAATGAAACTTCTGAGACTCAGGGTTCCATGTCACAAGCTGCTGAGCTGGGTGGGAGGGGTGGGGGGGTGGGCAGTTAGGGGGTGGAAGCGGGGTGTTCCCGGACAGATCAAGTCACTTCAGTGAAGCACACTGTCCTCTTTGGAATTTACTCAGCAGTGTGTCTCTGCTAGCCTAGGCCAGGGCCAACTTGCAATCCCCTCGGTTTTAACCCTCTCCCTAC